AGTCTCACTTTATCTTTGGTTTTGGCAAGTTTGATTATAATATGTCTTGGTGACTTTCTTTTGGGATCTACCTTATGTGGGGTTCAATGAGCATCTTGGATAGATATCTTGTCATCTTTCAGGATATCAGGGAAGTTTTCTGCCAACAAATCTTCAACAATTCTCTCTGTATTTTTTGTTATCCCCCCTGTTCTGGTACTCCAATCACTTGTAGGTTATTCCTCTTGTTAGAATCCGACATAATTCTTAGGGTTTCATCTTTTTTTTTTTTTTAATCCTTTTATTTGATTTTTCCTCAAATAAGTTGGTGTCAAGTACTTTATCTTCAGTCTCACTAATTCTGACTTCCATTGCCTCAATTCTGCTCATATGACTTTCTGCTGAGTTGTCTAATTCTGACATTTTATTGTTGATCTTCTGGATTTCTGATTGCTGTCTCTTTGGATTCTTGCAGCCTGTTAAATTTGTCATTATTCTCTTCTCTAATCTTTTTAATTTCCTCTGTTGCGTGTTCTGTGTTTTACTTATTTTCCTTCCTGATCTCTTGAAGAGTTCTGTATACTAATCTTTTGTATTCTGCCTCTGGTAATTCCAAGACATTTTTTTCCTCTGGAAAATTTCTAGATTCTTTATTTTGGGTGCTTGCTGAAGCCATCATGGACTGCCTCTTTATGTGATCTGATATTGACTGTTGTCTCCAAGCCATCAATAATTTATTATATTTATTTATTTTATGTTTGCTTGCAGTGTCCTAGCTTCTTGTTTTGTTTTGATATACCCAAATAGGCTGCTCGTGTGAGCCAGTTTGATTATTGGCACCTTTGAAGCTCTAATGTCCTGTCACCTAGTGGTTAGATCTGTTACTAGGTATGTGAGCTCAGGAGTTCGCCCACTCCTCCTGTATGGATTCAGCTCAGTTGCCCAGGTAGATAGCCACCAGGTGTGTGTTGCAGGCTCTCACCTCTGGTCCTAGACAGGCATGGGTGATTCGTGTAGGCACAGGCATCTGGCTGCAGCAGGGGGACACACTCTGAGCAAGGCAGGGGGCTGACGGCCTTCCGTGAGTGTCCAGGAGGAAGGCATGTCCCTGTTCCCTAGAGCGCATAGGTGGGTGGGTGTTGGTTCTGCACTATGAGTACCCAATGCTGTTGGCTGTAAGGACTGGGGGGCATCTCTTATTCTTGTGCTCCTATCACAGGTGGCTAGGTGGTGTGTGTGGAGCCACCAGTCTTCAGACCCCTGATGTGGGTAGGTGAAGACCCTGCTTAATGGGCAGAGCACTGTCAAATGTCTCGAACCTGCCACTTCACAGCTGAAATATTTGAAGTTAGACTTCAGGTGTATACTCTGTTGTACTGCAGTAATGAGGGCCTATGCTATTGAAATGGGCCTACACAAGTCTATGCAGGGAGAAAGGCACTCAAAGTCCATGGATCCCTTATGCCTGTGCCTAGTCAAAGAGCTGTGCCTACCATGAGTTCCTGGCTTAGGAGAGCCAGCAGTTTATTTTATCCCGTTTGTTAATTTATTCATTCTCCAAGGCCAGGAGAATGGCTCAGGGCATGCAACAGATTCTACTTCTGGCCCAGGGGACTCAGCAATTGCTCAAGCTGGTCTGGGACCCAGTGCAGAGCAGGGAGCAGGGAGGTAAATGGGAGAGAGTTTTTTCTCTAAGGGGGGTGTTTTTGCTTTGCGCAGTAGGCCAGACACAAGTACGTATCTTTTGCCAATCTCGGGCTGCTTCTCACTGGTTCTGGGTGGCCGAGTAGACTCTGCCACTGGGTTTCTCCCGGTGTGGAATACGCCTCCTGAGCACCGCTGCTTGCCTGCCTCACCGCCCACCCATAAGCAGATCAGGCCCCAAGGGCTCAGGCTCTCGCTGGGTCATGTCTGGCAACTCCTCGCTGCTTCCAAACTGTCTTTCCCTCCCCCTGCTACTCAGTCTGGTTCCTCAACTTTGCCTTTGAAGTTCAGGGCTCCTAGATTGTCATATATAATCAATTCACTTGTTTTATTGGGTCTTCGTTGTAAGAGGCTCCACTGGAAGTGTCTGGCTACTCCACCATCTTGTCCCTGCCTCTGGTTAAGTCTTTTAATGAACAAACGTTTTTAATTTTTATAAGGTCACATTTATCTGTTTTGTCTTTTGCTATATGTGCTTTTATTACTAGATAATTTATTGTTAAAAGTTATATCTGACTGCGTTTCCCCTGCATTTTCTTCTACGAATTTTATTGTTTTGTTTTAACATTTAAGTCCTAAATCCATTTTGAATTTGTTTTTGTATATGGTCTGAGGCATGGCTCCTTTTCATTTTTCTGCTTTGGAAATCCAATTTTCCCAGCATCTTTTATTGAAGAGACTCTTCTTTCCCCATCAAGTGGACTTAGCACCCTTGTCAAAAATCATTTGACCATAGATGTGTGGGTTTATTTCTGGCCTCTCATTTCTGTTCCACTTGTTTATGTGTCCGTTGTTATATCAGTACCAGGCTGTTTGATTACCATAGTTGTATAATATGTTTTAAAATCAGGAAGTATAAGTCCTCCTACTTTGTTCTTCTGTTTCAACATTGTTTTAGCTATTCGGGTCCTCTTGCCATTCCATATAAAGTTGAGAATTATTTTTCTATTTCTGTAAAGAAGGCTGTTGGAATTTTGATTGTGAAGCTGGGAGTTTTTGATGGCAGAAGTTTACACAGTTTTTACATTTTTCTTTGATAGCACTCAGTGCTCTGGAAGATGATTTTAAGTTGGTCCTGGACAAATGGTAGAATAACAGAGGAGCAAGAGAGTGGAGTGTATTTGCAAGATATTTTGTTAATTCAACAAGTACTTATTGAGCCCCTTCTATGAGCCACTGTTCAAGATAATGGTCACAGTATGCCCTTACAGGGAACAGAACAGAGAGTCCCTGATGGAGCAGGAGAAAAGTGGGGTTTAGAACTCAAATTCTAGTGTAAAAAAAAAAACAGACTTAATGGTCTGACTGAGACTGGAGGAACCCCAGAAAGCATGTCCCCCATACTCTCTGTCAACCCAGAACTGAAACCATTCCCGAGGCTAACTCTTAAGACAAAGATTAGACTGGACTATGGGACATAAAATGATAGTTGTGAAGAGTGTGCTTCTTAGCTCAAGTAGATACATGAGACTAAATGGGCAGCTCCTGTCCAGAGGTGAGATGAGAAGGCAGAGAGTGTCAGGAGCTGGTTAAATGGACACGGAAAATCAGGGCTGGAAAGGAGGAGTGTGCTGTCACGTTTTGGGAGAGCAAGTAGGGTCACATAACAATGTATGTATAAATTTTTGTATGAGAGACTAACTTGAATTGTAAACTTTCACTTAAAGTACAATATAATTTTTAAAATTTAAAAAAAAAGATAATGGTCAAAATAATGGATCTTGATGTGATGATGGATACAAAGTTATTTGAGAAGGGGCCAGGTAAATGTAGTCAAGAAAATAATAGATTTGATAAATGTATAATATATTAATTATATTATATAACATATTGAGCATCATTTTATATATTCATTCACTTTTAGAACCACCACACTGTTCCATTATGATTTAATTCTTGAGCTTGAAATACACAAATCACTGGTTTGTAACTAGAAATAATTTTGGTTGTCATAGTGACTAGCAGAGTCCTACTAACATATAGGATCCAGAGACCAGGGATATTAAACATCTGGCAGTGCTTGGAACAGTCCCATACAAGAAAGAACTGTCCCACCAAAATGCCAGTAAAACCCCCATTGAAAAACCCTGTTGTATATAATAATGTACAACTGCAGAGCTTTTGTTTCATTTGTTCACTCAAAATATTTACCATACCATAGGATCTGCAAGCCAAAAATTGTGCAGAAGGCCCTTTAATATCAAATTAATTTGTATATTCCCTGTCTGACTGACTAATGGCTCACATATTTATGAGATCTTCAACTTATTTAGAATTAGTGATTACCTTCATTATAAATTCAAAAAAAATTTTTTTCTCTTACAACATTTCAGATCAGTTTACTGCTAGCCAAAAATGTAACTATTTAATGCTGTAAGTGGTGTTGCAGCTTTCTTATATGATAATGTAAACTTAAGATGAATTTAATGTTTGCAAGTCCCATAAGTGGATACATTTTATCTTATGGTGGAGATGCCATTGCATTTTTTTTTTTTTTATATTAAGTCTGGCAATTACTTATACTCCAACAGATTATTTAAATAACCTTTTTTATTTGTTAAAAAATTCTAACAATAAAATCTAAGAAATCAACCGAAACTAAGAAAATGCAGAAATAACTTTACTATATTTACATAATGCGATTGAAGTTTATAGAATTTCTTGTAATGTCAGGTAGCCTTGAGAAACAGAAACACAGAATAACCCAGATTATCTTTGCATCTAGCACTTTAGCTATACTTGAAACTTAAACTTCTTTATCAAGTTTGTGGGGATGGGGAAGTAGGAGAAGAGGTAGGAGGTACTCTTATTGAAAAATATATATATGTATTAACTCTAACGTACTAACTTTAACAGATAAAAGTGGAGCCCGTTGTTCCAGCCCCAAGTCCGGTTATCCCCAGGTTGACTCTCAGAGTTGGTGCTGGCCAAGACAAGATGTGAGTACGAAAGTTTTGAAGCAGAGTGAAACAAATTAAACTGAACCTTCTCTACCATTTCTAATGTATTTAAAACTCTATAAACCTTTTCTAGGTATGAACATGTAGAACCCAGCTTTATTTTAAGAACTCTTCATTTTTTAAGTTTCTATTTGTTTCTTTCTCAGAGTTAATGCTTTTTTGCTTTATTTAACAAAAAGAACATTTTTTATTTTCTCTCTTCCTCTTTTCTAAACCTAGCATTATAACATTGTTTCTGTATAGTTTTTAAGGTCCTGATTATCTGAAAACTAAGAAACTATGTGTTGAGTGCACAACTGCCATATCATACCCAGGTGGATGTAGTGTTATACCTTCTCAAGTATGTGTTCTCTATCACGATGACAGAGAAAGAAGATTCTCCTCTTGCTCAGATAGCAGATGGTTTTGTTTTGTACCTAACAAACGAAGATCCTGCCAAAGGTTTGGTGAAACAGTATTTAATAGTAATAACTTAAGTCTTAGTTGTCCACTTTCTTTTTTTTAAGAGAGAACAGAAAATATAAACTCCATGTTTACTGTTTTTTTTATTCTTGATTTTCACTGAATCATATCCCATGTTTATTTAAAGTAAATTAATTGGGCGTTTTTCTTTTGTTCATTTTTTGAGGGAAGCATTAAGGCCTATAGTGCTCTTACATGATCCTAATAAGATAATGAAACATTGATTTTTTTATAAGTCATAATAAATCACTTTTCTTGTTCTAAAATCATGCTGTACATCATTTAAATGAATTTCACAAGCTATAACTACAAGTATTTTTTCCCAGTAAGCCTAAAAATGGGGTAATTTACATTGCAAACAGTCAGATATTATGTAGAAAATAGGATTATGAGGTATCCAATTCCCATTGAACTTTTAACCATAAAAAGGAGAGTAGGACCCATGAATTTATTAATAGAAAATTTGGCTTGTGTTCTATTTCATCTTAAAGTTTGTATTTTAAACTGCTTCTTTTGTCAACACCAAATATAGTACAATGAAAACATCCAATATAATTATGAAAAATGGTCAATGAGGTCTTCCAGGACAGTATATACTCTTCTGAAGATTAAGATGGTTCATATTTTTCTTCTCTAAATCATCTGGATAATCTCTGTATTACTCTTTCTGGTTGTGGCAGTAGAGATCTAGACAGTGGGTAGTAGTACTGCTGTCAAGCTTAGAAAATGTAACAAAAATACTGTGCATGTAGCTCTTTTTGAACATGATATCTGGTGTATCTTGTGCCTTCTATATAACCTACCAAAATTTTAATAATATCCTGGCTCATCAACCCAGTAGAAGATAAAGCACTAGTTAGCAAATAGATCTAGCCAAAGAAACTATTCATACCGTCTCCTTGGAAATTCTGTGTATGGGTTCATTTTGCTAAGGGAAAAATGTTCTTATTCATCCTTCAACAAATACTCTTCTCCCACCAGTTCATATGCCTGTTTTTCTCAGTAACTCACCATTGTTTAATCTTTATTCCCACACGAAAGTTTGACTTGCTCATTCCCTTTAGAGAAACAAGGTTTGTACAAAGGCATTGGTGTTTATTTTCATCTCACCTGCCCTTAAGTATCTTTCGGTTATTCTCTGGCTATTTATTCTATTTTTCTCTTCTCAACAAATCACCAATACACCTAAGATATTGGAAGATGTGTGAAGTAGACCCTTACTACTCTAGAAGAAAATGTCCAAAATTAGGGAAATTACAATGCCCAGACATTCTAGACAAATTGTCTTTGAGAAAGTGTAATTGTATGTAATATGTAAACTTTTAAGTAAATGACCTCCATGTTGTATAAAGGATTAATCATTTGACCAAGGGCAAATTAGGGAAATCCTTATAATGAACAAAAAGATAAATTAAGTGAAGTATATTGCATTTTGAATTAAAATAAGAGAGCGAGGAAGAGACCCAAGTCATATATTAGTAGAGTTTTATATGAAATATAACTTAATCAGTAAAACGCCTTTTTTTTTTTTAAATCTGTATCAGGGGTCAGCAAATTATAGCCCACAGATCAAATTCAACGCTCTGCCTGTTTTATATGACCCACAGGCTAAAAATGGTTTTTGCTTTTTTAAAGGGTTAAAAAAAAATTAAGAATAATATTTCGTGGCAGGTGAAAATTATATGGAATTCAAACTTCAGTTATCTTTTATGGTTATAGCATCAGGTACATTGCTTATTCCTTGGCAGTGATAATGGAAAAGAGGTAATAAATAAATTCATGTAAATGTGCCCTTAGTTACTCAGTTGTGCACACTTGAGGGTGTACTAATACTCTTTTGAAGTGAAAGTAATGAGCAAGCCAGGATTTATAAGGGAGGGGCTTATATAGTCTAAAGGGGGTGTTTATTGCTGAAGAACAGGCAGAGAATAGAGTCTTTTGAAATTATGGGGGGAAAAAGCTTTACAGGGTTCAAATTATACCCTCTAGCCGGAAGATCTTTACGGCAACATTTAATTTCTAAATCTTCTTAAATAAAGACGTTATGTCTTCTGCCCGTGATCCAGAAAAGTACTTTGAGATTAGATTGTTCTTCTGTTCTCTGTTGTTATTCCATGAAGCAAGACAGAGGTAACTTGTTTTTGTCTGACTTAACCTTCCAAAGGGGTCTATGGTGAGTCCAATACCTCCTCTTGATAGCATTACAATTCAAGGTGACTTTGCAAGGACTTCAGATTCCTTTAACGTGTCCCCCAGTAATGGATATTCAGAGTTCTTTGAAGTCGATATTGAAGACAAAACTGAAATACTAGCCCTGAAATTATAATCTCAATGCCTATAAAGTTTATTAGAGTGGTATGAATGGGAAGAAACAGCACATTCAAGTTAATTTCTAAAATATTAGAGTCCAGCCTAACAATTACTTTAATGCCAGGACAGCAGGGAGGTTTCAGCTTGCCCAAGAGCAGCTGCCTGGAACTATGGTAATAAGGATTTGAGGTCCCACCTGGACTCAGTGGCAAAGAGTACAGTGGGTGTCTGTTTATCTGCTATTGTGGGATGGACAAGTGACAGACAGCACAGTTGCTGTGTTATTTATCATCCCAATCTAATTATTTACTGTGTTAGTTTATTTTGAGCAGTATAGGAAGAGTTGGCTAACTTATGACATTCATTCATGTATTCATTTTTATGAAGAAAATAGAGCATAGTAATGCAATGGAGTGTATTAAGGACAGGGAGTGTTTAGATAGGATTGTCAGGAAAAACATGGCAGAACAGCACCTGCAGCTTTTCTAAGTTTAAATCTGTAGCTGTTTTTTAAAGCTCAAAATTCTGTTAAAGGAGTTCCTCATGAAAAAAGACAGTTTTGAATAGTAGTAAAGTATTAAACATGTAATATAAATGTGAATAAAGATTTGGGGATGAATAGTGATGTGAATTCGGGGGTAAACATTCTTGTCTCACATTTCTGAAATGTGTCTTTTAAAGCTATCTCCTCACTAGCACTGGGCAGGAAGTTTCTGCCCTTTTCTCCCATCTAGTTATTTGCTCTTCCCCCTGGGAGGAGTGATTCTTCCGCTTAGCTATATCATTTGTACCAAAAGATGAGGTTATTGTATTGGAGAACTTGTGAATTGATCCTCCTCTGTTCTCAGGACATTCCTGCCCTTACTCAGTGAGCTCAGCAGAGCTGGGGTAATTAATTGGGCTCCTCCAAACCTTCAATAACGGTTGGTCATTTTTTCCAATTAATAGCTAATAGTATGTTTGAGAAATGACACAGAAATCATTTATGATGCCTTTCAGAGAACGATATTGTTATCAGCGATAATTCTAAATTCCCTTTTAACTGAGAGACCACAGTAGCTATTCTGTTTTACAGACTTAACACTTTTTTTCAAAATTGGCAGATTTTGCTAAGATATTTTTCAGTGACTACATTCTGGCACTTATAGTTTTATTTGTGCTAACATTTTGATTTCCAATGGCAACACAGCCATGAGTATTACCAGATTTCTGACAATAAAGATTTGTTATTCAACAGTACACTGATAGCAGAAGCACTGAAAATTTGATGCTTTTCTTTTCATGTAAATAATTCAGGTTTTTGTTGCAATTTGAAGAGTTTAGCTTATATAAGGGACTTTTTAGTAGTTGTAATTTTCTAATTATTTATAGGTACTATGACAATGGGAGCTAAAGCTTTTGTATTTTAAACTTGAAAGACATAAAGTGCTTAATCTTTAAAAACATAAAATATCTAGACATATTTATTACCTTTGTGTGATCCAAACTTTTCTTATTAACACTTTTTGTCAGTACAACCAGGAGTAGAGAATATATAATCATGAGCAATTACAAAAAAAAATCATTTAAAATATTTTTAAAGAAAATAAGCATTTTATATTTTAAAATTTAGCCAGATTTAACCAAAAGACAGTTAACATGGTGAATTTTGTAGTGATGTTTTAGTGATAAGTTCTTTAGAGAATAATAGCAAATGCTTTATCTCGTTTCCTGTGTCTACCTTTCTATATTTGAAATGTTTTTATTTATGTATAACTTTTTTCCAGTCTAAAAGAATTTATGCTAAATTAGAGAGTACATATAGTAAAGTTACTAGAAAATAGAAATAGGAAACTAAGACAAAGGAAAGGAAGAAAAGTAAATTATCTTGATACAACTTAATATAATTGCCAGGATTGAATTACAGATATGATTCTAGCTTCCTGGCAATAGGAATCTATCTAGGCTGATATGGTTCTTAGTGCTCAACGTCTCTGGTGAAGCTCTCATTCATAGCATCCATTATCCATCCCCATCAGATACTCCAGTTGGCTAGCCTGGTGTTCCAGAAGAAAAAGAAGGCTCTCTTAACCAGAATAAGAGATGAGGGGCAGGCAAAAGTAACTGATAGATTTTATTTTAGTTAGGAAAAAAAAGTCAGATTTAATAATTTTTTAAAAGCATGCTGAGGAGGCAGGGCAAAGAGACTTTTTGGTTAAAAAAAAGTAGAAGTGAAGTTCAGGAACATTTCCTAGCTTCATTCTGCCAGACTTGGAAGGCTTTTCCTTTTCTATTGTTGATTTGTTTCCCTTTCAATAAAACTGTCTGATTTTGTTTGTTTGTTTTAATTGAAGTGTGTCTAGTTTCTTTGTTTTGCCCTGGTTAACTTTGCACTGGAACTGAAACATTTCACAGGCATTTTGTCCATGTTAGAAGCTAAATAATAGGAACAGTGACCAAACAGCTTAAGAATGATTATATCTAAAATTTATAGAAAATGACTTATATTTAATGCTAGTGAGAGATACTGACCTTACAAATGAAATTCCCTGGCAGCTGAACAGGTAGAGTACAAGTTGTAAGTTGTATACATTATTCTTGCTACCTTATTGTACTTATAGCTTCAGCAGACTCAAACTCATATAACTCAGAGCCACTTCCAAGAGGAACAGATATTAAAAAAATTTCTTATTCTGGTCTTCAGCCATTTCTGATTTTTCCAAATGAGTTCTTGACTTCCTTATATCACTCTCTTATTTTTACTGACGTAAAATTATGATGAAGTCTTTAAGCTTAGTTTTTCCCCCTGCCATATATTGTAGTTTGTTCTTTAACACCAAAGATGCAATATGTTCAAGAAGAAAAAAAATAGTATACTGTCAGAAAAACTGGCTTTAGGTTTTGGGAAATGCTTTCTTTTACTACACAGTAAAACAAGCAGAAAGATTATAATCAAAGCATTTCCATCTTACTTGTAAACAATTACAGCAATTCTTACATGGATGCCACATTAGAAGACTTGGGAAAATTTACTGGATTCCATTCTAATGCAATTAGAGCTAATTTTGTTCTTTAAATGAATAAAAGGTTAGCTAGTAAATCAAGCTTATCTTGAGTCCAGACTTCAATAAATTGTTTTATTTAATTTGTTGTAAAAGATCTTATCCTTAATGGGTCTAGGTCTTATTAGTTCACTTAGGTTTTAAAATATTTATGACCACCTTTTTAGATATGATTTGAATGATAGTTGGAAAGTTTCTCTCTGCAGTGTTATCAAGACCTAGCATCACTAATTGAGAGAATATAGGAAAGTACTTAAGATTTGTTATCTAGAAAAAGCTGATGTGAACTTCTAGAATTTAAATGTTCTTTAACTTGTGACAGGCAGAGATAATTTAGCTATATCTTAGTAACCTTTTGGATACTATCTGATTATAATTTCACCAAAGGATTAAACTACTCACAGTTTTGGTGTTTAAAAAGAATATGTACCTACTTATGGAAACACTTAGGCTCTCTTATTATTACTAAGAACAACACAGCATTTAAATTCTTTATATTCTATTATTTCCTGACATTTCTTGGGGCAAGAATGTTAAAATACTTGCATAAGAGACTTTAGTGTGTAGTGTTTCTTCTTCTCTACTTCCACTCTGGCCTCTGTAGCTTATAAAGTGGACATTGTTGTCATTGTAGGACTTCTGTGATTTAGAATATGGGTAACCTTTTGTGAATGTGGTTGTCAGAGTCTCAGCACATGAGTTGAAGGATATGTCACTATAAGAACTGACTAACTGCATTATCCCTGTCTGTTTGGGTTTACTCTTTATGATTAAGGGCTCCAAAATTACGTCTACGCTTATCCTCACATTCTGTCCTCCAGGCTCTAAGAAAGAGTACAGCATCCCTCCTTGTTTTTAAGGTCAGCTCCTCCTCATGTTTCTCCTTGTCATTCCAACCTTACCTGCCCCCTCTGGAACTCCGTGTACTCTTATCTCCTTTCATCTTTATCTTCATCTCCTTCCTTTCTCTCATATCTTTGCTTCAGCCTTGAATTCTCCCATCCTAAACCTTCTCACCTTCACCTCTACATAAGAGACAGTTTATAACTTCCTCTTCTCATTCAGGCTTCTCAAAATTTATTCTTTATATGTACTGTCTTCCAGTTTTTCATCCTTGAACCCACTGGTTTCTGCCCTAGAAACTTTTCTCAGACTTCTTATTGTTGTTGTTAGCTGCCATCAAGCTGTCTCCGACTCATGGCAACCCCATGTACAACAGAATTGAAACACTGCTGGTCCTGCACCATCCCTATTATCGGTTGCTGATTGGACTGTTGTGATCCATAGAGTTTTTTCATTGGCTGATTTTCGGAAGTAGATCACCAAGCCTTTCTTCCTAGTTTGTCTTAGTCCATAAACTCTGGTGAATCCTGTTCATCTTCATAACCAGTATCAGTTGCCATTGATTGGGTTCTGATTCAGGGTGACCACGTGTGTGTCAGAATAGAGCTGTGCTCCATAGGATTTTCAACGGCTGATTTTTTCAGAACTAGATCACCTGGCCTTTCTTCCGAGGCATCTCTGGGTGGACACAAAACTTCCAACCTTTAGGTTATCAGCTGAGTGTGTTAATCCTTTGCACCACCCAAGGATTTTACCACTTAAGCAATACCTCCCCATTTCTCCCTCTCACCCACCCCTGATAACTACTAAAAAAACTTTGGTCTCTATGCATTTGCCTCTTCTATATAGATCATATACCAAAAAACAAACCCATTGCTGTTGAGTTGATTCCGATGTACGTAAAAGTGGGATCATATATTTGCCCAATTGTGACTGACTGACATCACTTAGCATAATGTTTTCAAGGTTCATCCATGTCATAACCTGTATAAGAACTTCATTTCTCTTTATGGATGAATAACATTCAATTGTGTGTGTATATCGTATACATTGATTTGTTGATGGACACTCGAGTTGTTTCCACCTTGTAGCTATTGTGAATAATGCTGCAGTGAACACTGGTGTACAAGTATTTGTTTGAGTTCCCGTTTTCAAGTCTCTTGGGTATATACCGAGGAGTGGAATTGCTAGGTCATAAAGTAATTCTAGGAGCCCTGGTGGCACAGTGGTTAAGAGCTCTGCTGCTAACCGAAAAGTCAGCAGTTTGATTCCACCACTGTTCCTTGGAAGCCCTGTGGGGCAGTTCTACCCTATCCTGTAGGGTCACTATGAGTCAGAATCGACTCAACAGCAACAAGCTTGGGTTTTACAGTAATTCTGTGTTTGCCTTTTTAAGGAACCGCTGCACCAGTTTACATTCCCACCAGCAATGGGCAAGGGTTCCAATTTCTCTACATCCTCATCAACCCTCACTATTTTCCATTTTTCTGATGATAGCCATCCTAGTGAGTATGAAGTGAATATCTCATTGTGGTTTTGGTTTGCATTTCCCAGTTAACTAAATAGGAGCTCCAACTAAATAGGAGTACCTAGGTGGCACAGACAGTTAAGGTTTCAGCTACTAACTGAAAGGTTGGTGATTCAAATCCACCCAGAGGTACCTGGGAAGAAAGCCTAGTGATCTACTTCTGAAAGGTCACAGCCATTGAAAACCCTATGGAGTACAGTTCTACCATGAAAATCATGGGGTCACTATGAATCAGAATCAAGTCAACGGTAACTGATTTGGTTTGGTTTATGATGACTAATGATGTTGAGGTTCTTTTCATGTATTATTGGCCATTTGTATGCCTTCTTTGATGAAATGTCTATTCAAGCCCTTTGCTCATTTTTTAATTGGCTTGTTTGTCTTTTTGTGGTTGAGTTTTAGGAGTTTTTTTGTTTTTAGTTTTTTAAAATAAGTTCTGAATAGTAATCCGTTATCAGATATCTGGTTACCAAATAATCCTCCCATTCTGTAGGTTATCTCGTCACTTTGTTGATAAAGTCCTTTGATGCACAAAACTTTTTAATTTTGATGAAGTCCGGTTTATCTATTTTGTCTTTCATTGTTTATGCTTTTGATATCATATCTAAAAATCCATTGTTAAAAACTTGGCCCCAAAGCATACTGCCCAAGTTTTGTTCTAAGATTATTATGGTTTTAGTTCTTACGTTTAATTCTTTGATCCATTTTGAGTTAGTTTTTGTGTGTGGTGTGAGGTATGGGTAGGTCCAACTTTATTCTTTTGCATGTGGAGTTCCAGTTGTCCTAGCACCATTTGTTAAAGAGACTATTCTTTCCCTACTAGATGGCCTTAGCACCTTTATTGAAAATCAGTTGACTATAGACAAATGGGTTTATTTCTGGACTCTCAATTATATTCTGTTGGTATATGTGTCTATTATCATACCAGTACCAGGTTATTTTGATTACTGTGGCTTTATAGTATGTTTTGAAATTTCAAACCAAGAGTCCTCCTACTTTGTTCTTCTTTTTCAAGATTGCTTTGGCTGTTTGGGGCCTCTTGAAATTCCATATATGTTTGAGGATTGACTTTTTCATTTCTGCAAAGAAGGCTGTTGGAATTTTAATAGAGATCATGTTGAATCTATAGATTGCTTTGGGTAGTATTGACATTTTAACAATATTAAGTCTTCCAGTCTATGAACACAGCCAAGTCTTTTCATTTATTTAGAGCTTCTTTAATTTCTTTCAGCAATGTTTTATAGTTTTCAGTATACAAGTCTTTCACTTCCCTGGTTAAGTTTATTGCTATGTATTTTATTCTTTTTGATGTTATCATAAATGGAATTGTCTTAATTTCCTTTTCAGATTACTCATTGCTGGTATATAGAAGCACAACTAATTTTTGTGTGCTGACCTTGTACCTTTAAGTTTGCTGAATTCATTTATTAGCTCTAGTAGCTTTCTTGTGGATTCTTTGGGATTTTCTATACGTAGGATCATGTCATTTGTGAATAGGGATAGTTTTAGGTCTTCCTTCCTAATTTCCCTTTTATGTCATTTTGTTGCCTAATTGCTCTGGCTAGGACTTTGGGCACAATGTTACATACCAGTGGTGAAAGTGGGCATCCTGATCTTAAAGGGAAAGCTTTCAGTCTTCCCTCCATTGAGTTTTGATGTTAGCTGTGGGTTTTTCATAAGTGCCCTTTATTGTGTTTAGAAATTTTTCTTGTATTCCTAGTTTTCTGAGTATTTGTATCGTGAAAGGGTGTTAGATTTTGTCAAATGCCTTTTCTGCATTGATTAAATTGTCATATGGTTGTTTTCTTTTGTTCTTTTAATGTGGTGTATTACATTGATTTTCTAATGTTAACCATTCTTGCATTCCTGGGATAAATCCCACTTGATGAGTTGTTCAACTTTTTGTTATAACAATAATGAGACCCCATCCTCATATATACATCATTATTTAGTCAAATGTTGCTAGGTCAAAGAATATAAACATTTAAAAGTTTTAAGGGATTGTTTTGCCAAGTTATCATCCAAAAGGCTATACCAATTAAAATCCCCACCACCCGTAAATGAGAATGAAGCATGCAGTATACATTATAGATATTAAATTTAGAGTTGTTTGATAGATACTACAAGATTTGTGTTACATTACTGTATGTGCATACTTAAAAATTGACATCTAGTTGTAGAAACTGTAACACACCAATAATATTAATCCTGCTAGGAATTGTAATTGCCAGCCATTTCTTTTAAAATATCTCAGTGTTTGGTACAAAACCTTTTGACTCTAGATGCAAATAATATAAACTGGGTAAAAGTGAGACAGTAAATAGTACCAGTATATGATCCAAAGTTTGGAAAATAATGTTCCTAGTATATGTGTATGAACTATGTCTATGATATACCTATCTGTTTTTTAAACAAATGTGGCTTCATCTTAAGTACAATATTATTCTAAAGTTTCTTATAATCAAAATACTTTTTTAATTCCCTGGAATTAAATTTTTTTCCTAACAGACCTAGTTAATATTAACTATATAAATTTTAAAGGAATTGTTTAATTTTTATTTTAGATTAATTATTAGAGCACTTCTGAAAGATGTTAGATGTTAACCTGTTTTTTTTACCATCTCTCTAAGCTGTACGTTCTGACCCAGTTGAAGAAATACTGATTTATCTATATTTGGACATGTGAGCCCGGTTAGAACCCAAGAACAACATTTAGAGCTATTAATACTATTAAGCACATTGGTTCTCAATTAAGATAAAAATTATGAATAGATCGCAATTTTAAGTGGTAAATGGCTGTGTTCTTTTTTTTTTCCCAACAACCCACTCAAAGCCAAGTGAGTAAGAGGAAAGCTCCGTATGCACACCTAGGTTCATTGCAGCATTATTCACAATAGCAAAAAGACGGAAACTACCTAAGTCCCCATCAGTGGATGAATAAATAAACATTGTGGTACATACATAAAAAGGAATACAATGCAGCTGTAAAGAATAATGATGTGTTCTCAAAACATAATGTGGATGAACCTGGAGGACATTTTGCTGAGTGAAATAAGTTAATCTCAAAAGGACAAATAGTATATGAACTCACTTTTATAAAAATAAAATAATAGGTATACATACAAAAAACAGTGTTCTTTGGTGGTTACCAGGGATGTAAGAGGGAAGGAAGGGGAATCACTTTCTAGACAGTAGACACTTATTATTTTAGGTGATGTAAAAGGCAACATCAAATCCAAGTGAAGTGTGTACAACTTGACCAAGGTAAATGATAACACTAAGAGTACACAAGAATAAGGGACATTTTTGGTAAATGCTGTAACATACACAATTTTGCAACAACAACAATATTAGCCAAAAAATAATGTGTGGTTACATAGGTAGATAAGTATGCATATATGTGAATAGGAAGGTATATGTGTACATACGTGTGCACGTATAGGTGTATCTGTAGACATAGCTATATATGTATTTGTGTTGCATATATATATAAAATAAAGCACATAGGAGACATAGTTACAGATACGTCCTAGACATAACCAAACACTTCACAGGATTGGTTTACTGGGTTTGAAGGCTTAGGAACATCTTCTCGTGGGGCAACTTGGTCAAGTGGCATAAAATAGTTTATAAAGGTTACGTTCTATATCCTAGTGAATAGGGCCTGGGGTTGTAAAAGCTAGCGAGCAATCATCTAAGATACAACTATTCGTCTCTACTCATCTCCAGCAAAAAAGAAAGAAGGAAACCAAAGACTCAAAGAAGAAACTATTCTGCAGGACTAATAGCCCACACGAACCACAGCCTCATCTATCAAGAGACCAGAACAACTAGATGGTACCTGACCATTCTGACCAGGGACACGATAGATGGTCCTGGATTGAGTGGGAGAAAAACGTAGCGCAAAACTCAAATTCTTAAAAAAAGACCAGACTTGACCAGTAGAGACCAGAGGAACCCCCAAGACTTGTCGCCCTTAACCCATTGCCATCAAGTTGATTCCGACTCATAGAGACCCTTAGACATCCTTTAAACCTGGAACTGAAACCACTTCTGGAGGTCACCTTAGAGTTAAATAATATATTAGA